GTTCTACAAAGTATGTAAAGGTCTTTTGTTCGCTTGTTTGTTTTGTTTTGTTTTATTTTAACTTCTGAAAAGAAAAGAAAGAATGGTGGGCTGAAGCCAGAGGTCCACTCTAAGATGATAGTAACCTTGTGTTGTTGGTGGGTCAGTGGCCATGGAATTTTTTTTTTTTAAAAGTTTATTTATTTATTGTGTGTGTGTGTGTGTGTGTGTGTGTGTGGCCAGCTCAGCCCACCAGGGGGCGGGGCGGGCTGGCATGTGGTGCTGGGGGATTGAACCGTGGTCCCTGTGTTTTGCTAAGCTTGTTTTAAGTAGGTGCTTTAGACCACTGAGCCATCTCACCAGCCCCAGTGGCCATGGAATTTAATTTAGAAAGGCTCTTCCCTGCATTCATATCTCAACCTACTCATCACAGTATCAGGAAAGCCTTAACCCCCTCTTCCCTCCACAGCCCAGAGAGCCCAGACAATTCCCTGCCTGTTTACTTTTTTATTTTCTCTCTCCCTGAAAGAAGTCATTGCCTGAAGAACAGTGACTTGTGTTTGGGTTACCTACATATTACCAACACTTCATGTGGTGTCTGGCAAATACATGGACCTGGGGAGCTTTTTGGAAATTATGATTGTGACAGCCAAAGAAATGGCATCTATTCCATTAGTGTGCATAACACATTTTTTTTTTTTTTAAGTCTCAGATTATGGGGTAGTTTTGTCCCTGGGACTAAGGCCTACTGGGCCAACTATTTGACAGCTCATACCATGTCTCTAGGCCTCAGTTTTCTCAGCAGATAAAAGAAAGGGCTGAAGACCAGGGCCTTTGGACTGTGCTCCTTCACCAGGCCCACCTGGCAATGCAAGTTCCAGGCCTGGCTACATAAAAGTGTCTCAGATTTATGTTCTCAATGTTGGCCTGCCACCAGAGTTTGTTTGAAGAAAAGATTCTGTACCAAAACAGTGTTTGAAACTTGCAGAGCTTCCATGCCACTCATGGCCATGCCAGCTCTGTAGAAGCAGATCCCGTGGCAGTTCTGGTATGTAAGAGTAGAGGCCTGAGGCCTCAGAAGCTTCAGCCCAGCAAAACCAACTGGAAGAGTCATTCTTCAGCCCTGCAGAACCAACTGAAAGAGTCATTCTTCAGCCCAGTAGAACCAACTGAAAGAGCAATCTGGGTGATTTCATTTGAGACCTAGATAGAACCCTTCCAATAGCACAAAGAATCCTGTCACAAAACCACTAAGAAGTTAGATAAGAAGAATAAATTCTGCTGTTCTGTTGTATGATAGGCTAACTATAGATGACAATAATGGACCATATACTTCAAGAAACTAGGGAAAGAGATTTTTGAATATTTTCACCTTAAAGATGTTGTGGTTCCCCTGATTTGAACATTATAGTGTATACATGTATTAAAACATCACATGGTACCCTGTAAAATTGTTCTGTCTATATGTCAGTGATTTTTTTAAAAAAAGATGAATAATTTCTAGAAACCAAAAGCAACAGCGTGGTGACTGTGTTTCATGATAGTATATTGTATACTTAAAATTTGCTAAGAGAGTAAATGTTTTCTCACCACCCCCACGCAAAAGGTAAAACTATGTAAGGTGATGGATATGTTAATTAGTTTGGTTGTGGCGACCATTTCACAACTTGTACAAATGCCAAGACATCGTGTTATACATTTAAATACATACATTTTTTGCTCAATTTTACCTCAGTGATACTGGGGAAGAAAAAATTCCTTTCCTGATACCAATCCTTATATACACGGATGCCTACCTTCTGCTGCTTTTCAAATGTTAGTATTGATTTTTCTTCTTCTTTTTTTTTTTTTTCCACATTGACTTACTCATTTAAAGATTTCATTTCTGGCATTACATTTCCTACCAGATAGCCAGAGCTTTGAGCACCAAGTTTTATAATTAAAATTCTGTCACATCCCCCAAAACAGTGCAAATGGTGCCATTAAGCCTGGAGAGAAGATTTGTAAGCACTTCACCTAGTAATTTAAATATAATATTTCTGGCAGCATTCAATTTGGGGCATTTTTAATTCTAATTAGAACAAAATTACTGAGCATTAATATCCTCTATATAGTACTGTTGTGGCGCTGTGCTTCAGCTTGGCCATCCAGCTTTTAAACAAACAGCCTGGTTGCATGGCTGAAGCAGCCCACATGGTTTCTTGTGGCCTTTGGGAGTCACCAGTCCCAGGCATAATTAGTATATATCAAAATCCTCTACACTGTGACAGGGAAATGGTATGTTTGAACAGTAGCTTATTAAAATGACCTACTTAATTTAAGGAAAATACTGTATCTACTTGCATGGTAACCTGAATGCCTTCCCTGATCTCTCTCTCTCTCTCTCTCTCTCTCTCTCTCTCTCTCTCTCTCTTTCTCTTTCTCTTTCTTTCTCTCTTTGTCTCTGTCTTTCTCAGAAGAGGAAAGGGAATGGAAAGGCCCGTTCTACTTCATCCAAGGTGCAGACCCACAGTTCGGACTAATGAAGGCCTGGTCCACTGGGGACTGTGACCATGGTGGTGATGAATGGGGCCAGGAGATCCGTCTCACTGAACAGGCTGTTCAGGCCATCAACAAACTGAAGCCCAGACCCAAATTCTTTGTTCTGTGTGGTGACCTCATCCATGCCATGCCAGGTAAGACTGGGGCTGTCATTCATGACCTTTTTCTCCTTTACATAGTCATGACTATGTAGAACAGAAACAAAAATGTTCTGGATCCAAACACATCTCTGTTTGGTAACGGCTCATTTCTTCTCCTTAAGACTATTATAGTACCACTGAACATCAGAAAATGCATACTCATTTTATATTTATAATTTAAGAAGATTAATCACAGTAATTAGGCAGAGCTACAGTTCTGATAATCTGAGTTTAATATGAAAAATGGCTTAAATTCTCCCATATCAACTTCTGCACTTCCAGGAACAAACTTGAACTGTTTGCAGACACCATACTCATAAATGTAGTCTTCTCCCTTCTTCCTTCTTACATTTTTACTTCTCTCATATTTGTTGGCCCTTTGTCCAATTGCAAATTAAAGAAATACAACTTAAACGAGCTTCAATTTTCTTTTAAGGTATGCTTCACCTCATGGGACTGTAATTCAGGGGATGATCTGGGCTTTAGGTACAACTGAATCTGGGGGCTCAGCGGTTATCAGGATTTGGTGTCTCTATCACTCTACCCTGCCTTCCTCTGGTTTGCATGCGCATCCTCTCTAATAGTTCTTGGGAGCTGTAGGTTTAAATCCATTTTTAAAAAAATGTCTAGCTGGGCATGGCAGTACACACCTGTGCTTCTAACACTCAGAAGGCTGAGACAGGAGGATTGCTGTGAATTCTAGGCCCACCTGGACTACATAGTGGAATTGTCTCAAGGAACAACAAAAATATCTCAGTAAAAGAAAATCTAATGAGAGTCTGGGACATGTGTGACCCTTGAAGAAGGCTATGAGGTCAGCTCTGCTGTAACCTTACGGTCTTCTGAAGAATTGGAAGGTTTCTCTAAAGAAAAGCAAGATGCTAAAAATGGAAAGGTAGTAACTAACAGATGTCTTCTGGGACTCTGCTCCCTTTTTCTTTTCCTCTCATCTCATGAGTTTGCATAATCAAGCAGAAAGTATCCTTGCCCACCATGGAGGCAGAGCTGGTTCCCCCGGCCTCTGCCCCTTACCTATGTCCATGTCTGTTTTTAGTGGAACAGATGACCTGAAGATCATGCCAGAAACTCCAACTGTGGCTGTGAATATTTGTTCTGGGATAACTTTATTTATAAACCACAACCTGCCATGATTTCTGTTTCCTCCGGAAGCTAAGGCACACCAATTTATACTCATAAGGTTCACTTGTTAGCACCCTTTCTGTGCAGCACAAAACCCGGAGATAGACTGTCAGAATGGAAAAGGGGAAGTCAGAAATTTCTGCTCTCAGGTGCGAGGAATGTAATCGGTGGGGACAACCTCGTTCTCCATTTATTTGTATTTTTCACCAAGTCGTTCATGTGGACACACATACTCATGGACTTGACGCCACCTGGTAGAACCTAGTGATGCCACACCCTCGGGCAGCCCCTGTGCTAGAGAAGAAAGAGAACAGAGGTCAGTAAGCAAAGCCAAGCTAGAACCTGTGCCTGCCAGCCAGCCATATGATGCTGATGTATGTGTGAATGCAGATAAACCCCTTACCTTCTTAGGACCCCAGTTTCAGAGCCAAGAACCAGTGGAAGCAGCAAAAATTTCAAACCTCAACCATTTGGGACATGGTGCAAGGGCAGCAGTTTCATATCTGTGCCGTAGAGATGACCATCCCAGCAGTACTGAACAGAAAAACATTTGCAAGGATGGTCCTGAGTTTATCTTGTAGAGAGCTAAAGGCTGAGCTCTGGTAAAATCTTAATTGCTTGTAAACTTACCCTCAGTGATTTCTGTCCAAGAGGGTGGTGAAAATCGTGCATAGGAAGTACCTACAATTCCTTGGCTTTTAAAGGAGTTGAAAATCACAGAAGATTGAGCTTCATCGGAGAAACCAAGGCCATATGTTAGTTGATCAAGCAGATTACTGCTTCTTGCAAGTGGTTTGATTTGCAGTTAGCTGCTGCTTTGAGACATGGCCCTTTGGGATATGGGCATGTCAGCTGTCCTGTCACTCTGGACTGCACAGTGAGCAAAACTTCTTCTGTTGGCCTCTTGAACATAAGATTTCAAATTTAACCATTATTGTATTCTTTCCAGGAGCTTCTTTTCTTTAAAGCAGACTGTTATGGAGCTCACTTGGATTATGTAACATGTTCTTGTAGCTGTTTACCAACTTGTTCTGAGTTATGTTAATGTATTCACTCATATTTCAAAATCAGATTTAAAGTAAAAACTTTCCATGCAATTACATTTCCTCTGAAATAGAATATACTGAACATAAGTAAATTAAAGCGTACAGTTTGTATGATCAGTCCTACCAGTTGGTCAAGACGTTGTAAATGTGAACTGGCAAATTTTTGAACATACATTTCATATTCAGTGAGACTGAAACAGAATTCATAATCTCTTCTGAAGATCTGGACTGTTTATGGTATTTTAACTGAGCTAGTGAGAGGACTGTGATGGTTTTGAGTATTGTCTGAGAGTAAACAGAATGTTTTTTAAAATTAGTTATCATTTTTTAATATGCACTAAGTGGCTTCCCTCTCATTTATCTCATGTGGAGGGACAGACACTAGAAAAGTAATTATTTGCTTTGACTGCTTAGCACATTGTTAATTATCAACTGCATATATTAATAGGCAAATAAAATAAAAATGCATACTTTTAATTCTACTGTAAATATCTTAAACCCAAGCAGATTTAAGTTCAGAAGGAAGCAAAAGAACTTTCAGAATAATGTTTTGTTTGTTTGTTTTGTGTTTTTGAGACAGGGTTTCACTACGCAGTTCAAGCTGGCCTTAAACTCATTTTGTAGCTCAGACTGGCCTGAAACTTAGTGATCCTCCTTCCTTGGTATCTTAAGTGCTGGGATTATAGGTGTGCATTACCAAGTCTGGCTAGAGTAAATTTTTTTTAATGAAAGTAAAAATATGTTTTTCTGCTATAAATATTCCTCAATGTTTGTTTATCCACACATATTCATCCTATGCAAAGTGCCATTACAGGGCTAGCTGTTGTGGCTCTAAGAGTGGAAATCCGAGACCAGGTCCTTCAGTAGAGCTTGAGTCTGGCAAGGGAAACACGTGAATGATGGAAAGAAGAGTGGCCTGTGCCAGTGCCCATGGGGACAACCCTAAGAATTCAGTCTTCTTTGTGTTCAACAAAGTCCATTTGTTTTGAAACACCTATTTTTTATCCTGCTGACATTTTGTGATTATCTAGGTATTTTCTTATTTTATAATGCCTCCCTGTGGGATTAGCCACATTAATAGCATCAGATGAAGACTTGTACAAATACGGAGACCAATTGATTTTCACTCTTAAGCCTGGGGTTACTTTTGTTGGTCCTACTGACACTGAGGCATCGACCGACAAATACTGTCCCCAGGAGCCTTGTTAAGAGTCCAGCAGTTATATGGGGAGCTGACAAATCAAGATATGGTGCTACAATTAGGGAGCAAGAGAAGGCTGTGTGCCAAACTCTTATTTGTCTATCCCTGTTTATTAAAAATTGCTATAAACTAAACGTGGTAAGATTGAATTCATCCCTTGTGGTAAAGTTGCCTTGAAGAGTTCCCTGTATTGCCTCCACTTGGGAAATGATGACATGATTTAGTTTGAAGTGATGATGTAGCCTCACTTACTTCTCTGTTCTTTAAAGGAGGGAACATTGTCATTGTTCATTAGATTGGTGTTTGTTTCCTGTAACTGCTACAGCCACTAAAACAACATACATTTATTCTCTTAAAGTTTTGAGGGTCAGGAGTCCCAGCATGAATCTGAAGGACTATCTGCTTTCTAATGGTTCCAGCATCTCTTTAGAGATTCCATTCTTGGCTTCTGGTCTCTTTCCTCACTGTTATAGTGAGCCACACAGCATCTTCTCTCCTTTCTGACCTCTGTTCCCTCTTCTTCCACTATTGCTGTGACTGTCCTACTTTCCAACTGTACAAACCCTTACTACTACTCAGGAGCATCTCTCTAGCTCAAGATACTAGCTCAATTTCCCTTTTACAGTGGAAAATAATATATTCATAAATTCTGGGAATTATATTTGAGCATCTTAGTTGGGGGAGAGCATTATTCAGCCCACCACAGGTAGCACCACAGCATGGATGGAATTCAGGGAATTTGGGATCTATTACCTGACAGGATCTGTGCTTTTAGCTTAGCCGCTTGTGACAGTCTTTAAAAAAATTTTTTTTTAATCTTTTATTTATTTGGTACAGGGTCTTTCTATGCCTGCAGTACCAGGGATCAAACCTGGGTCCTTGAGCTTGCCAGGCAGGTACTTAGACTCTGAGCTATCTCCCCAGCCCACTCATGACAATCTTGCAAAGCAGATGTCATTGTTAATTGATGAGAAACTGGCTCAGCAGTGAAGTACCTTTCCCAAGGGCATAGTCTTGGACACAGTGGACTCAAGTTCATGTGCTTCTAGTCCTCATGCACTTCTTGCCACAGCCTTGTTGTTCAAAAGGTGGCCCCAGAGCAAAAATACTTAGAACTTGCTAGAAACAGAATCTCTGCCCACCTGGAACTGGTGGGCCACATTCAGCATCTTTATGTATTTCTCCAAGTGAACCTTATGGACAGTCAAGTTGGAAAAGCACTTAGTAGACTGAAATGGGTAGGTGCCCTATACTTTTGTTTGGTTGGTTGGTTTTTTTGTTTTGTTTTGACTTTTCAACATACATACAATATCATGTGTGTGCCAATATTTTATGAAAATTCCTTTCAAATGTTAGAGCTGATGTCTGGCAAAAGAACTATCACTCATTTAGACTTATAGTCAGTTTTCAAAGGAAGTACTTCTGAAGTTTATAGATTTTGTTTTGCTTCTTAAACAGATTGAATAACTGAAGCATCCATAGAAAGATGTTAATAAAATACACAGGAAAAAGGCACACGTATATGCTGTAAAGGATCTGTACATAGTCAGTTCAAGAGAACTAGAATTGAGCCTTTGATTTAGGTTATGTACATGTATGTAATCCAT